GCACCCACAATCGCTCGCGCGGCTACATTCTGGACAAGCTGAAGTCTTCGAATGCTCTTCAAGGGCTGCCCCATGTAGAGCATGTTGCAGTAGTAATATATCAAGAACAAGCCTTCTAAGCATAACTCCCTTCCCTTTTTTCATATATCACAATGGAAAATTTTTGTAATTACAAATGAACTGTAAAAACATGATCTTTCCAGGGATGCTACATAAACAGATATCATGCTCATTTTCATTTTAATAGGTCATGCTTTGTTAGATCAAATACCTTATATTGAAATAGACTACTTGAGCCACTATATTATTCACTGAATATGAAAATAATATCATCGCAAAAATATTTGTCATGTTTCACTGCAATTACTGTATTTCTTTCCTTCATAGATTTCAGCAATGTATTCTTCTATAAATAAAACCGGACAACCCTCTAGAGACTTGGAATCTACATATACCTGTATTCCTGAACTTGTACCTCAGAAGTCTCCATCTATTTGCAGTGGCCTCTATGCCAGTGTGAAGGACTTGGAAACAAATCCAAACCTTACTGATTTGCCTCAATCAACAATACTTCTAAATGGGGACTTGGAACCAGACTATGAGGCCATTCAGACTCTAAGTCGAGAGGAGGAAAGAAACGTTTTGATGTCTAGCACTCTTCAAACCATCCTCCCACAAGAGAATGACTATGAGAGTATTGGTGATTTGCAGCAAAATAAAGATGTCACCAGGCTTTAATTGATTCAAAAACAAAACTTTGGAACATGCTGTTCAGCATGTCTTTCAAGATGGATTGATTCCATGACTTCATTTTCAAACTCAACACACAGTTGGAAATGTAAAATGCCCAAAAAGTATTTTGCTTGAAATGATGTCAGGCAACGTGAAACCTTAGCCTGGGATGTTTGATCAATGATTCCTGCTTCATATCCATCAAACTATCATTCAGATATGAACTTACCCTAACAAGCAGGAAACAGGCAAATGCTCCATTTGAAGAACCAAGATCACATGGATGAAAAAACACACACAAATTGCTGCTGTTTCACAGTGATTTTTCTACTCCCCTAAGTGATGTTATCACATCATATAGATAAAATCAGAATCAGAGATGAGGATTCTGGAAAGCTTCAATAGAAGAGACATGTTGAAGCAAGAATGACATGTTTGGAGCACATGTTCAGACACATACTCATATCTTAATATATAAAAACTGGTACTGTTAAATAAGGGCCTTTTTAAAAGATCTTTACTTTCAGTTACTTCAACCATTTATTAAAATGTGTTCCCAAATTACACATTCATTTAGGTTGTTTTCAAACATAGGCACAGCTTGCCATATAGAGTAGATAAATTTAGTGGGCTAATTTGTCTTAATTCATTGTTTTCAACCATGGCAACTATAAGCTGTGTGGATTTCAACTCCCAGAATTTTCCACTCAGCAATAGGAAATTCTGGGAGTTGAAGTCCACACAGCTTAAAGTTGTTAAGATTGAGAAATGCTTCCCTAATATATTTACGGTAAGGCAGCCCTGAGATGTTGTGAATGAATGTGTTGGCCTATTCTCAGGTTCATGCTTCTGCTTTGATCTTGCTCTAAAGTAACACAAGAGCAATGAGTAAAACGCAGGCATTTGTGGGAATTAGGAAAGACTGCCTTTGTGAGGAACCACACAGATGCGGTTGAAGAAATCATATACATCTTGTTTGCTTCATGGATTGTTTACAGATTGGCTATATAATTTCTTACTATTTTTACAGTTTTTCAATTTTATAATACCCATTTTCTTTCAATAATATGCTTGGATTGATTTACATTTACTGGTGGTAGGATCAGGATATTTTAAAATATGTTTAATACATACACAATTTCTGCTTTTCAAACACTAGCAATCACTTTTATTTTTATTCTTAATGTATTTTGCAACCTGTCCAAACAAGCTGCAACATTTTGCAGAGGTTATAATTCTCTCAGAAACAAAAAATGCATCTTTAAGAAGTATCTTTTTATATAAAATTGTAAATAAAAGGTAAGACACGTTATAGACTCTGGAGTTATTTAATGAAGCGTTCAGTATACTTGAGTCTAAAAAAGACTGTAAAGAAAATTGTTTAAAGTAAAAAATTAATACAAATAAAGGGAAATAACATTATTCTTAGTAACCTACAATTTTAGATATTCTCAGAATCACTCTTGACAATAGTCATGTTCACTTGTTCAATTTTGATTTGCAACCAACTCAAGATAGCTACTGCCGCTGAATCGTTTCTTCTATAGCTAGGCAAGATTTCAGGAAGTTTTGAACCAGCAACCATAGAAACACAAAACAACAGACCTTTCTTGCAGAGATTGTAAATTCCACAGTATTACCAAAAAAAGTGATACTGTGCTTGGTTTCTATAAAGATTAGTGCCAATACTTAGCATGTAAATTTCCTCTAATCCATTTTACCAAAATAGCATGTGTGAAATTGTACCTTGTCTTCTTTATATTTCTACTTCCTTTGTTCTCAGGTTTATTCAGTTTATTTACATAAAAATATCTTGCAGCATTGAAAGATAAGTACATTTATTACAGTTTAGGATTTTGAATCAGATTGTCACTTCATTCAACTTTCATTAGGCACCACAAGATGTTTAATCTGTTGCTTAAAAGCAATAAATATGGCTGATCTCTGGAAACTGTTCCACACAATTTCCAAAGGATGTGGCATTTAAAGATTTCCTGCATAGAACTAAATATGTCTTTATGTAAAAGAGAACTGCATGTGTCCAACATTCAGAGATATATCCTGTATGGAGCTTTTTTGGGAATAATGCAACTTTTTGAAAGAAAAAAATGCATATTAATTTACTGAATCTGTTGTATCAGATGTGTGTCTTTTTGTTAAATACCGCTATTTAACATAAAAATGGATATATAAGCCTACAATATTAAAGTAGTTGTATGAATATTAATTCCCATTTAAAATTTGAATGGGAATGAATTATCATTGTCAGAATAATCAGCCATATAAACTGAGGGCCTAGTGACCATGGAAGCGTGATCTTTAATTTATTAGATTAGTTTTAAGCTGAATTAAGTCTTCATCTTAACAGCTGTCACACAGACATAATTCCATGGTCTTTTTGGTGGTTGTTCCATATTTGTTGGAATTGGCCAGTTTGCCTCAAGGACTGAGTGGCAAATGAATGTACATATATATGGGGATACCACATTTTTGATGGTGTAATACAAAGTGAAAATTCCTGCACTGGTGAAAATAATGCTCATAAGTAGATTGAGGGGGGGGGGAGAGGACTGCTCATATATTTAGCATTTAGGAAATTTACTTCCCAAAGCTTTTCATAGAAGTTCTGCATATAATGTATGTCCTAAGGTGTTGGCTTACATTTCAATATGCTGTTTCACATGAACATTTCATTGCTGCTGGGTTAAAAAAATGCTTGGGTGGTGGGCTACATTTGAAATAATCATCTACTACTAAGCTTTCAGGATACATGTATACTAATACAAATGGATAATTCTGTAGATAAACTCTGGATCCCATCAATCTTCCTCTTGTGAGAAATTATTTTCACCAAAGCCATCTGTATGAGGAACATGTTATTTTAAAATATATAGCAGAAAGTATTTGTGAACTCATCTTCCAGAATAAATACAGTCTCCTACGGTGCAATATGGCGATAGGCATCTTATTCCTTTCAGCATAAAAGACTGTGCCTTTACAAATTTACCTTCCATGAAAAGTCTGGACAAACGCTTATGACAATAGCAAGCGTGGTACATTCTCTTAAAACTGTATGGTGCTGTACAAAATTCTTACAAATATTTCATTGTATGTGTCTCTGATAGCTTGTTTGTACTGGGTTTTTTTTTTTTTTTTTTTTTTTAAAGGGAGAGCTTTTTTCTACTAAATTATCTATGTTGCTTAGTTTGGGATGCTTTATTTCAAGCAATGCTTTAGTGGACTACAAAGAGATAGATAACCACAGACATGCTTAGGAAGTGTTAAAAATGGGTGAGTTTTTCTAAAGCACAGAGAATTACCCATGAAAAGAGGAGAGAGGAGGTATTCCTGGTAGGATCTAAGAAGGTAGTTGTAAGCAGCTAATGGCAGTAGTAAGAAGCAAAGGAAGTCAATAGTATTGCAGATATACATTTGCTGGCCTTGTGTTATATATGTGATGTGTGTTCTACTTGTATCTTTTGTTTTTTATATATATACACGTTTGTTTTTCTTAACAAAAGAAAAAATATTTGATTTGATGTTTTGTACTTTCTGCCTTGTACCTGGTTTCTGTCAATCTATTTCTGCAAAAGGATATTAAAGCCGAAAGGTAATGGATGTCAGTATATTGTACGGAGGTTCTTGACCAAATAACTTTTCTTTTAATCTCAGCAGTTTCCTCACAAGACTGGTAAGATACCACTACACACTGCAAACAGGCAGCTCTTTTGTGAGAGAGCTCACAATATTGTCAAAACTCACCAGCCTCAAAACGTTAGGAACGACCTTGCCTTGGTACTTCTGAAGTCTAATTTGTTTTTGAAATCTAGCAGTGCATGCATTTGAGAAAAGAGTGGAGTGCATCATCAAAGAGTAAGAAAAAGGTTTCTGCATTTGTTTGCCCAGTTGTAGTTTCCCATCATTGTGTATACAAAAATGAATGCAGCTACAAGAGGCTCTCTGTTGTTTTCTAACAACTGTGAAATATTTGATTGCCTCCTGTTTGTACCATTATCGAAGACAGTTCCTCTAGTAACAGTAATTATACAGCCCTTTCATGCTTAGAAAAAAATATCTCTCTGAATATCAGGTGCAAGGACAAGGCTTGCTCTTTAAATGCCCTTTATCTAATTGGCTACTACTGGCAACAGATAGTCCTTGGTCAATCCACAAAGACTGTCAATAAGTTCAAAGAGAGGTACAGCTTACTGTACTAGAATTGTTTGTCTTAGAAGCGAAACTTAACATTTACTGTAATAGAAGAGACTAAAAGATGCATTCTGGGAAATTAAGAAAATTACTATTTTTCATGCATCAAAGGCATGACAAATCAAGAGAAAAGATAACGGAGTGCTCTGTGTAAATTATACTTTGGAATCAGAATTCTTTTTTATTTTTAAATAAAAAAAATTTGTTACATAGACAACACATACCCACAACAATAACAAAAAAACCAATATTACATATAGCATGCAGTTTGGTTACAAGTGTTTTAACATTTATCATTCTTATACATTTATTATTTCATTTAATAGGTTATAATATA